GAATGGACACTTACAGGTGACTTAAAGGATTGTTCTGGGAGTTGACTCAACATTAAGCTATAGAATGGACAATACAAACAAAAGGTTCAGGTCACAATCATGTTTTAATTGCAGTTCGAGACCCAGCCTTCCGTTAGCTTTGACGGTACAGGTAATTTTTCACCAAGCGGTGTGATTATTTTTTTCCTTTAGACCTTCCGAATCACCGCAGTCTACGTCGTTATCTAGATCTAACCATAATTCCTTTGCGCCCTTTGCTCTCCGTATAAGTTCGGGTGTGTTTCCAAAGGTTGGTTTCCACACTTTTTAAGAAACTCAATTAGTTTTTTTTCTCATTCCATCAAAACATTGCATTTTTAACGATTTTACATAATATCCTTGACGTTTGACGCTACAGCAGCAACTTGCGCTATCGGAATATAAAAACCTCCAATACTAGAGAGTGCATATAGGGAAGTATCTAGGTTATCGAAAGGGACTATAGTAGAAATGGTCGAAATTAACATTGTACATTAAAAATACTTTAAATAATTTTGTCCTGCATGTTTGCTTTAAGTTCTACACATTCAGTCTGAAAAAAAAATGTTTGGAATAATGAATTTTTAAATTTTATGAAATTTTCTTTCAAAATATTAGCTCTCTTTAAAGATGAAATCAGAAAGAAGCCCACATGTTGCACATATATAAATACTCCACTAAAGACAATCAAGCAAAAATAACACCAAAAATAGGTTAATGAAGATGTAAGCTTTAATACAATTAGGGGACCATTTTTACCCGTATCTCCAATAACGTGTTTAATTCTGTCATCAAATACATTAAACCATAAGATTTAGTACTGAGACTTCTCCATTTTATCTAAGGATGACCAACTGATATGCTTATCAGATAACTTTACTCTAACGCCCAGTAGACTTACCACACTTTAATACAAGTCTGATATGAAGAAAATCTTAGGAAATTAATTATAAATGATAGAAAAGGTAATATCTTTGTCTTCATCGTTTTTCTTTTTCGAGTTGATTTTCTCGAAACTCAGTGCATGGATTCAAAAATAGTAGCATGTAAGAGATATTCTGAACTCGTGTTTTTGGCGTCTAATACCTTGAAATTGGCATTTTTCAGCTTAAAAAAATCAAATTCTATCAATTCTATGAGTTGAAGCCCAACATGAAATATTATTTATGACTTAGATTTTTTGCTATCACCTTACATAAACAAGGAGAAGGGGGTAAATTTGCAGGAAATTTTCAAGAATAAGTATTTAGTGTTGCAAAATAATTTCCAGTAAAAATCCATCCCATCTATTTTCCATGTCTTTTTTTTCATTTACAAAAAGCTTTCTGTGGAAATTACAGTACTTTATTATCCCCTCGCGCAACTAGTTGCGGAGGTGATATAGCATCGCTACTATGCGTATGTGTGTGTGTTAGTGTGTTAGTGTGTCCGTTACAGCTTGTGGGCAAGATTTAAAGAGAACCTTTGCACTATCATTTCTCAGCCTTCACATACTTATGTGGCATTGTAAAAGGACGATCTCTATTCATTTTCAAGTTAATCGGTGAAATAGTTCTTAAAACATCGCGTTTTTACTACCTTCAAACCTTGCAATTTTATGTACGAGTTGACAATACTCACTTCCGGTAAATCTAACAGGTTAAAATTTGGGTCATTTTGAGAGAGCCGCTTCGGTAAATTCTACTTTGTATTTGCGTATTGTCATATTATTGTGCGTATCTTGAGAAAGATTGTATGAATTAAAAGTGTCATCTCTGTCACTGAGTAACTGAAATAATTTGATGAACGTCGCGGTTTCAATACCAAATTACCACACGTGTGTTTTTTCAGTAGGAGCCTGTGGAATTAAATCTTGAGGCGCACGTAATTCTTGAAAGCTATAGATATAGTTTCACAAGTTTCATTGACATCTCAACACCGGTATATTGTCATTTTTCACTACAAAAAAATATTACTTCCGTGCGTATTAACAGATTTGATGCATATTGCATGCTACTGTGGGGTTTAATCAGGTAGGTAAATTAATGAAATTTAGACCATACTTGATATGTTTCTGTTAGGAATAAGAGAAACTGCCCAATCACGTATACATGCTTGTTATGACCATCCCCCCTCCTCCCCCCCCCCCCCCCCCCCCCCCGATGATATCCACCGTGACTTTTGTTAAAATTTAATTTGTGTCGCAATACACTTTAATTTCTTTACCTTATTTTAAACTTTATATAGTAATACTAGGTACACTTGATTACAAGGCCCAGATGATTGTATCTTGTTTAATGTCCCTCTTGAGAATTTTTTTCTCGTATGGAGACACTGCCATTACCGGTGAAATTCCTGGCGCAAGGGGATGCTCCGCTTAGCGGTGCTCTTGTTTTTATTATTAATTGTTTAAAATAACTATAGATTTAAAAATAAAACATACCAGTATAGATAGTAGTAACAGTATTAATGCGTTATAAGTCTGGATATTCCCTAATAAGATAACGTTAAAATCAGACATCACATCGCATATAGATTTACACATCATGGTTCAAATCTGGAAAAAAAAAATCAGAAAGAACATGAACTTTGAAAATAATGAACAGTAGTCATGCTCAAAACTTATATGAAACAATAAAGAGTTATAACAATACAAAATCTGTAAACAGGGCATAAAACACAGACCCCCAGAAATTCTAGAAATGGGTTCAGGGTTACTAGTACTAGGAGAAGTAAATACTTGGACCCAAGATGCATCATCTTACAAGATTTAATGATTCTAAATCTCTCAGTATTCAAATTAATGACCTTAAATGTTTTGGAAAAGGTAATCCATTAAATTCAGAAAGTAGGTCAAGGTGACCTACTTTTTAGTTGACGTACTTCGAGGACCCAAGATGCATCAACTGACAAAACTTGATGATCATAGGCCTTAATTTGTTCAAAATATGCCTCTAAATCATTTTGAAAAAGAATGACCGCAAAATTTAAAATGTAGGTCACCGTCAACATGATTTGAAGTTCTTAGATGCATCAACTGATAAGATTTGATGATCCTAGTCCTTATAGTAAGCAAAATATCAACATTTAATAAGATGTAATTTTTGGTCAACTTTGAAGTTACCTTGAGACCACGCCCTTTTCCCCAGGGTGATGCCTTGAACAATTTTTAATTTTTAACACATCCTCATCTTTCTGTGTAAGTTTGGTGATAATCTGCCCAGTGGTTCTTGAGAAGAAGATTTTTTAGCAACCTGTACTTTTGGTTTTATTTACCTAATTATCTCCCTTTGTTTAAGGGTCACAACCCTAGTTTTAGTATGAATGGGAGCCCTTGGGACAAGGATACCCTGTAACAAATTTGACAATAATTGGCCATGGGGTTCTTGAGTTATGGACTATATTCTAACAAGTTCACGCACACCGCACAAATGGCCATAGCATTAGCTCTTTGAGGCTTTGGCTCAGAAGAGCTTTAAATCGGTTCCCAAAAATATCGTCCGGATAGTGAAGAGTCCGAATAAATGGCGTCCGGATAAACTTGGCGCCACTGTACTTCATATGCAGATGATAGTGGAATATTACTTCATAAATAATGTTGATGATGCAAAAGCCTTCGTAATCTCGTTTGACATGCAATTTAGTTGTTGGACAAACACCACCAAATGTTTTACCATAGACTTCCATGCAAAGTTGAGCCCCTGTCACTGATTCATATATTGAATTTTGGACAAATGACTTTCTTGCCATGAAAGTTCGAGATCTTACAAAACAAAACACGCCAGAAAAAATATACCGTGCCGCGCCTTTTTTACTTTCAAATGCCATTTGTTTACAACTATGTGCGTTCAGCACCAAACGAAAACCTCTAACCAAAGTGCATCCCTTCCTTCAAATTTTTACCTGTATCTCCTATATATCTCAAAGAAGCCAAAATCTTGATATGAGATTTTTATAACCTTTATTTCACTTGTGAAATACGTATCAAATCTTTTCTCTTAATGACCAATCACGTGCCAGGTAGCATTTTCTTCTCCGCACAACTTTAGGTGTCAAAAATGTCTGCTCCCATGTATATGATTATGTAGGTGTTTTTCCTGCAAGTTGGCCCTTATCGTCTATAGTTAGTAAAACATCCAAATATAAAACAGATATGGCAGACGATGTGGTTTCTTTTATTTCGAATTCGAATATATCGAGTCATATATGAATTGAATTAATATTTGTTAATAGCCGCACGTCACTGCAAGCTCTAACGACAACGCCTGTTCGAAGAGAAAATTCGGACTACTGCACATTCATTCAACAGAATTTTTTACGCAGTAATTCTGGACCCACAATGCAACGCTTGTTGTTCTCGCTGCTAACTTCGTTCTCGCGATAAAAACAACTAAAAATTCACAAATTCACTTGATTTAATGGATATTGCATACAGGTAGTAGATTAAGCGGTCTTTGTTAAAAATTTGCACTTTTCAAACTTCGTTTATGAAAATGCTGCTAACATACGACGTCATGTGACGTCACAGTCTAGGCATTGCAAATGTCTCGTGTGGTTTGAAGAGATCTTAAAATTAAGTGAAGAATGCGCACGTTTCAACGGTCGCACCGTCAATATATTACACCTGACATTAGAATAAAGTAGAATAGTTTCAATGGAAGGAAAAGATCAGAGGCATTCCGAATAAATCGTTCATCTTGCGTTCACCGTTCGTTCACCGTTCACTTTGCGCTCGCGTTTGCGCTCCGTTCGCGTTCTGCGTTCGCTCACCGTTCACCGTTCACCAAGTTGCGTTCAGCGTTCACACAACGTTCACTCACCGTTCGTTCAGCGTTCGCTCACCTTTCAAGTGGGAAAGTATAATGTTTCAGGGACTGTATGAAAATACGGAAATCGGAAATCCGTCTGTTTCGATTTTAGCAGTAAGTTTTCGTTATGATCTGTCTCAGTTTGACGCTTTTTAATCGCTGAAAAAGGAAAGATTTCAAACACTTAAGTGGTGTCGGGTTGCCGAAAAGAATTGGATTAAAAAAAAAGAAAGCAAGGTATGATGTTTTTCTTTGTTATTATGCCATGTTTTGGTAATAAGAAATGTAGTTGTTCTCTAGTAATATATGTCTAATCGATAGAAAGAGAGATCTTACTGGCAAATACCAAATCTCACTTACAAATCTAATAAAAAATACTGAGAGACAATATAATATAGGTAAACAGGTCTGCATTATGAAAGTGGTCGCCACTTCGAAAGGGATCCATGAGTATTTGAGATTTCGCTATACTTGCTGTAGTAACGAAACATATAATCAGAGGAAATTTTTGAGGTCACCCTCGGAAAATCTCTGATAATTGGACGCTAAATACACCAATAATAGAATTGGTTGAAATTAACATTGTACATTTCAATGTACTTTAAAAATTCATGTCATACTTGTTTGATTTAAGTTGTACGCATTCACTCTGAAAAGAAATCGTTTGGAATGTTTTCTTTAAAAACGGGGACTCAAAAGTGGACAAATGTGTAGTGATCGTATCTTTTGTTTACCCGTGTTTATCGTGTTGATTATGAATTATTTTTGACTGTCAAAAACTTTTTCTACGATTACCTCAATTAGATTTTAATCGTTTTCATTGCATCGACATATATCTGTGTCAATCTGCAGTAAAAATTTTAGTGAATGGTTAGATTTGATGTATGAGCATCTAGACTTTTATTAGCTTGGCCAGGACGGAATGCTATGAAAGAAAACATGCCTGACAGTCGTGTAATTATTGACTGTACCGAGATCTACACAGAACCACCTCAGTCACTTTCCAACAAAGGAAGAATGTATTCAGACTATAAGTCACACATGACTTGGAAAGTCCTCATTGGAATTAGCCTTAGCGTCTCAGGTTTATGGAGTCGAAGTACGAGGGTTGTTAGAAAAGATCGCAGACAAGTTCTATTGTGAGCGCGCTATTTGCATGAAATAATTAAACTCTGTAGGTAACAACTATACGTATTTTCCAATTAATATGCAAAAATTTGGTGTTTTTCTATGATCTTAAAAATATATACAGCAAAATTATTCAGATAAAACATGCTTCATGGAGCATGTTATTTTTCACACTTGTACATTTCAGAGACATAATTTTGAAATTAAAAATTGCACTGATAAAGATTATGATATTTCACCTCTCGCTAAGATATTCATGAAACGTCATTTGCTCAGCTATGTTAAGGAAGGAAATGGAAAATGCGATCTTGGTACATTCTTAATAGGTATTATTTTTAAGAATCTTTGTAACAAAGTAACTGTCAACATGTAGGAAAGGTAATATAGATATCAATAATGGATAGGTTTGTGGCTTACTCAGTACCAGCTACATCGCATGTATCAGCTGTGTGTCACGTGACTGATATAAAAATAGAATTGTTCAGCCGAATGTAGAAAATGAGGCTAGTGCAAGGGCATACGCATCTTTTTGGAGAAAAAAATTGATACATATTAAAAAAGATTTACATCGGCTTCCCGAAAAGTGCTGGGAGCTACTTTGAGTTGTTTCGGAAAGACTCGTAATTATGCCAAAAATATGTATAATAGCTTAAAATTTCCACTTCGCTTAAATTCTGTCATGAATAAAAATAATGTTATGCCGACTAGAATCAGCTCCCAGCACTTTTCAAAATATACATAATATAAGCAATTGATATTCCATATTTCAGCTCAAACAGTCTAGTCTATGCCCTTGCACTTTTGATGTTAATCAGGCATACACGTATCGTGTTAGCGATATTCTTTACATTCTCTGTCTATGTGCAGCTCCATAGCACCTACATAAATTAATACTCTACATTATTGTTCTAAATAAATTATTTCCTTTTAATTTTATTAATTAGATTTGAACATTGGCGAATGTTTTATATTTATTTAAGCATTTTTGTAATTATTAAACCAATGGATCCACTCCTCTGGATCACTTGTACTGCGTCAAGTCAAGGCTAGTGACGTCATATATGACACAAGATTTGCTTCTAATAACTCGGCAGTATTGCTATCAGATGTTGTGATTTTACAAGCTTTTATAAATAATTGATAAGATAAATGAATGCAAGTTGTTATTTACGCATCAGTATGTGGTTAAATAGATTTTTGTCGCTTGTTAAATTTTTAATGACGTCACAATAAAACTTCTCATACGGTGCATCACTAATGTGAACTCAGGCCTTCCTTAACGTAGCTGAGTGGCGAAATTTTGAATAAATTAGAGTTATGACTGTTTTATCACTAATTGTAGATGATCAATGCGTAAAAAACAAAGCCAAAAATGGCAAAATCATTGAACGTCTTGGAGCACCGAGCTATTAGAGAATTATGTGTGTAGACAGGAAAATGCCAGAAAGAGACTAAAATATTTTTAGATGCTGCTGGGAATGGCTTACACGTACCTAGTACAAAAGTGTTCAAGTGGAAACAACTTTGTAAGAATGGAAGGATGGGCATTTTTGATTAAAGGCTCCTGCGATACTCCAATATCCTGCTCATTGCATGGACGTTGCGACTATGGATTTTGCATTGCTTCTCAAATCTGATCGCTGAACTGCGTAGACATTGTTTTAAAGATCTCACTAATATCTGATACGCCACAAAAGACATTATAAATATATAACATGTCTTGATATACTTATTCAAATTTTAAGTCAGAAAAACATGAAAAGTCTATAGAAATGAAAGATATTTAGAACCGTGGTCTGGAATTAGGTTGCTGTGTCACCTAATGTCATAAAACGTCAAGTGATTGCTTCGAGCTCGAGAATCCTATGACCGCACAGTAAAAATCAACGTATATTTTCAAACTTTTAGTAAATGGAACTGATTTTTTACATACCAATAAACAAAAAGATAAGAATTTTATTAGACATACGTCATTCTTCAAAGTTTACAATATATTTTTCCTAAATCAACGTGTATGCGAACTATTCTAACAACCCTCGTACATATGACAAACAAGTCACAAAGTTGTCAAAATCAATTAAAAAAATGTGAACCTGGAGATGCAAAAATGGATGACAAAGCGTTCCTGATAGCTGACCTTTGCACCCCAAATGGAATTCATCTCATTATCCTCCTTTGAAGAAACATTATAGGCGAACAAAATATGAAATGGTAAAAGCCAGAGGGATTGCCAGTTTAAAAATCGATATCCATGTGGAACGAACAATGGTAGCGAATAAAAAACTTCAGGATTATTCAAGGTGTAATTCCACTAACACTTCATGACAAGATGTCCAAAATAGTGTTTGTTGTGTGTGCTCTCTGTAATCTCATGCCTCCACTTATTCAATCATAGTATAATCTACTATATCTATCTATCTATCTATCTATCTATCTATCTATCTATCTATATCTATCTATATATATATATATATATATATATATATATATATATATATATATATATATATATATATATGGAAGAAAACTTGTACATTATTATATTGATTAATAAATAGCAAAAATCTATGTACATCTTTACATTATTTATACTTCAGTATGTCATAATCAACCAAGTAATCAAGTGTTAAGATCATAGCAATGATGAGAAAGAACGACTTCATTTATTTGCACTGTAAAAAATCTTCTTTATTTTAAATTCTACCTTTAAAAAGATTCAGAAAAGTACCAGTTTATGTTTATTGTTAAAAATAGAGTTTTTAAATGCGTCATGTACTTGTATCATTGCAATAAGCTTTGGGCTTATTAAAAATTTATTACAATATACTAGATTAAGAGGTACTGTATGAACCACGATAGCCATTTCTCCTTGTACGTGGTGGGTGTATCTCCCTCAACTTGAGTAGGTAGCAGTCAATGTCAACTGTTTCATGTTTTCTTCTCCTTTCAACTGCCTTGTTTGAAAAAGATATACAGTAACCAAGAATATACTTTAGTAAATAGTCAGGTAGTTTCTGGTTTTTTCCGTACAATTTTACCAAAGTCTAAGGCAGTATGTCGCCCATACCTGGCTTCTCTCCAGATTGGGTTGATGTGTTGACCTTTAGTCATTTCATGTATAATTTTACACGCTTTTGCTGAAACCTGAAGAGACTCAAAATATTGCATAAATTGTTGTTTACATTCCTCTGAAAAAGATCAACCTTCGGGTTCGGGTATTGCCTTTGCACCTGGGGGTTATGTTTCAATAGTTGAGAAACTGTTTAGCCATCCAGCCATTCATTTTATTTTTTAAAGTTTTTCTTTAAAAACTTGAATAGATGATAAGTTTAGGTCTGGATATTTCTCGCTGACACTTTATGAACTTCGATTGTTTTTCCCCGTCTTATTTTTTTGTTGTTGTTGAAAGCCATGTCCTGTGCCTTTTTTGGTGAAAGATTTCTGCTACGTGGTTTAATCCATTCACAAGCTTTCGAAGTTGGAGCAATTTTACCGTTGTGCATTTTTACTGTTATATCCACAATTTTGTACAATAATGCTGCAATATGGTTGCAAGCACTCCCTTCTCTAAATTAAAAAAAAAAATATTTTTTTTATAATAATCATTATAAAACAGAGCACTAGTAGCATGTTAAATCTGATAAATGATGCAAAATGCAGTGAAAAAGTATTTGGAGACCTGGTACTTTATTCTAAAACATTTCTTATTAAATGTACAATAATATGTTTATGCACACGCAGGCCTATAGGAAGCATTTTCAGTGTTGGGGAAGGGGGGGGGGGGCATAGCCATACATTTTCAGTTGGGGACGCTATCAACTGCCAAAAATTCAATGACGTTAAATAAAAAAGGTTATCAGACGTTTTTATTGAGGGGGCATAAGCATAAAGTAGATATGTGTTCTATAATAATCTATACATCGGCAAAATAATTGGCACCCTGTGCCCCTCCCCTCCCCCCGCTTCCTACGGCCATGAAACGTACCTTTATTGAACACATTCTTACCTGACAAGCAAGTGGATATACTAATTTTGTGCATCTGAAAATGTTACAAATTTACATATATCAAGAATAATTATCATAATTATATTATACAATTTTGAAAATGTATTTCAAATCAAATTTGGAAATGTTTCAATTATGATTATTTTCTATGGAAATATTCACTGCAGCAGTGTCGTTTTTATGGTGCAAACTGTTTTCTGGGTGATGGATTTAATACCCGTATTAGCCGTACTTCAAGCTTAAAATGCATTGATGTGAAATTGTGTCATTTAAATTCAAGTTTTGTGAAACTTGAGATTTGAGTATTGAAATGATGTGCATTATTCATGGATTTAAATGTGTAAAATCGCGTGGATGTCGTGCAGACACTGTCCTCTGGATAAACTTAAATCTGAGCGGTTTTTATTTGTTATTTACATGTAAATTAAATCGTATGATTTGCATTTTTATTTGGTTTCCCTCTTGGGTACATTCCAAAGTTTACCTGTATCTCTCCATTCTGTTTGTTTTCACTGTCCATTCTTTTTGAAAAAGCTGTCCATTTTTAAAAAGAATGGACACTTACAGGTGACTTAAAGGATTGTTCTGGGAGTTGACTCAACATTAAGCTATAGAATGGACAATACAAACAAAAGGTTCAGGTCACAATCATGTTTTAATTGCAGTTCGAGACCCAGCCTTCCGTTAGCTTTGACGGTACAGGTAATTTTTCACCAAGCGGTGTGATTATTTTTTTCCTTTAGACCTTCCGAATCACCGCAGTCTACGTCGTTATCTAGATCTAACCATAATTCCTTTGCGCCCTTTGCTCTCCGTATAAGTTCGGTTGTGTTTCCAAAAGTTGGTTGTCCACACTTTTTAAGAAACTCAATTTGTTTTTTTTTTTTCTCATTCCATCAAAACATTGCATTTTTAGCGATTTTACATAATATTCTTGACGTTTGACGCTACAGCAGTAACTTACCCTATCGGAAGATAAAAACTTCCAATGCTAGAGAGTGCATATAGGGAAGTAACTAGGTTATCGAAAGGGACTATAGTAGAAATGGTCGAAATTAACATTGTACATTTAAATATACTTTAAATATTTTCGTCATACAAGTTGTACACATTCGGTCTGAAAAAAAATGTTTGGAATAATGAATTTTTATATTTTTCTTTCAAAATATTAGCTCTCCTTAAAGATGAAATGAGAAAGTAGCCCACATGTTGGACATATATAAATACTCCACTAAAGACAATCAAGCAAAAATAACACCAAAAATAGGTTAATCAAGATGTAAGCTTTGATGAAATTAGGGGGCCATTTGTTACCCGTATTTCCACTAACGTGTTTGATGCTGTTATCAAATAAATTAAACCTTAAAGTTTAATACTGAGACTTCTCCATTTTATCTAAGGATGACCAACTGATATGCTTATCATATTACTTCACTCTAACGCCCAGAAGACTTATCACACGTTAATACAAGTCTGATATGAAGAAAAACTTAGGAAATTAATTATAAATGATAGAAAAGGTAATATCTTTGTCTTCATCGTTTTTCTTTTTCGAGTTGATTTTCTCGAAACTCAGTGCATGGATTCAGAAATAATAGCATGTAAGATATATTCTGAACTCGTGTGGACAATCATATGATGATTCAGTTTTTGTACCATTGCATGGTTATAATCAAATGTTAAAGAAATATGGTTAAATCATTTTTACAAGAATGGTTTTGTGGGGGTTGAAAACTCATCTGAATGCTTAAATTTACACAGTATCTTAAGAACAGTTTTGGACGAGAAAGTATTTATTCCCTATATACATAAGGTATGAAACGAAATTTTTACAACATACATAAGATGTGAAACGCAAAATTTAACAACAAAAAAGGGGGAATAGTGGTCGAGTCAACTTATGCTCCCACAATAATGCACAATGATCCTGGATGTTGAACAATGATCAGTTAACGTATTTCTCCTTGCTTTGAAATTGTCATTAGTTATTGGTAGAAACTGCTAAAATACTCACCGCTAAAATCACCAGTGAAAAAAATCAACTTTGCGGGATTTCATCTCTAGTACTTAAAAAGTTATTAATGTTGAACTTGCTTTATTTGTTAACATAAAAGTGTAATAAACAAAAAAATCTACTGGTATTCTCACCAATATATTATACAATGTAATATGTCATCTGATCACACTTATTACGGTCAAGATTTAGTAAATGAAAGGTACCTACAGATTTTTCTTTGAGAAACGAGTTCTTTAAATAATCTTTCACAAATATAGCTTGATAAAATAAGGTGTATTAGGACTTAAATTTTTGGTAAACTCAACGAAAAATCAAATTTAAACTGTCATCTGGAATGAAAAATAAAGAAAGTCAGGTATATATTTCGGTTTTTTTTTCCATTCCAGGACAATATATTGCCCACATTTTCAGAAAATCTCAGAAAACGGTTTTCCGTATCTTCTTGACCTATACTTTAAAATTATATTAAATTGAATGTAGGTATAGGGGTTACTTTTGACATGATTTGAAATTGAATTTCCTCATCATTTTCTACATAATATTCTATTACAGTCATAAAGTACGGTAAAAAATAAGTTTGAATCATTTATAATGGATCTAGCATCAAAAGTGCACAATAAACTTGACCGTAACATATTTTAATACCGTAATCCGGCTATTAGTTAAACAAGAAAATGCTTTCTTTGGTTGTTAGTATGGAAATTAATATCGAAGCTATTGCCGGAAATTACATAAACCGCGTCAGCGCGTTATGTAAATTTTTCTACAATGGCTGCGATTCTCGTAGTTCTCGTACTAATAAAGAAAGAAAGACGTTTTATTGTTTATATTTATATCTGTTCCAAAAAAAAAAAAAAAAAAAAAAAAAAAAAAAAAAAAAAAAAAAAAACATTTAAAGTAAAATTAAATATGTTAAATATTGTATTATTGATATTTATGTCATTGTCTACATCTCTGAGCCGTTGCTCAAGAAATCTATGCAGGTGACTTGTTTAGTGTCGTTTACTGACTGATAAACGACAACGGTTTTCATAAGAAATAAAGGAAATAATATTCAGTGGATGTAAATATATTTCCATAACTGTCTTTTAATCAATGATTATACCTTAAAACTAGTTAATATTTCTATACTAGTAAAAAAGCATGTTAGGGATTAGCTTTTTCATCCTTTTTCGTGATTATATGCTGCATTAGTTGTTGAAGTTCTCCGTTAACAGTGTGCCAATCATCATCTTTCTATCACTGTATTTTCGCCTATGACGTCACAACAGTATGGTGCCCAAATCCATATCGCTTAAAATGTTCTTAGAACAACGTTTAATCTATTCAGGTCTAAATGAACATGGTTGTTGAGAATATTTTTTCTTTAAATATCTATTTTTAAAAGATGTGACAAGTTCTTTGACGATCGCAACCTCTCGGGCCTTTTCAAAAGCGGAAAAACGGCTTAAGTGTTAAATTTTTCCGAGCTTGCCATAAAGGCCCGAGAAGATGCGGTCTGTCCTTTAGGCTGGTGAATACTACGGGAGACAAGGAGACGATGAAAATCGAGCAGATAAATGGACACTGATTAAAACGACAAAACAATTAGACATATATACATGACTGAGTATATATTTGTTTAATCTTACAAAAATTTCATGATGTTGTGTTATGCAAATATTTCAAAGACTGTAAGCATTTTGCAAAGAAATACATTGGCCTCTTTCATAAATATGTGGAAAACAGTGCCTAAATTTAAAGTCAAGATTACCAATGAGATTTGTATTGTTATCGATTTGAAGCCATGAAAAAATCTATACCAACCAGCGTATTTTTATACGTGTGTGACTACACACACTAAAAATTCAGGTTTCTGAGAAAAACTGTATTTTTGTTTTTCAATAGATCTCTACGTTGATAAATATTTTTGCAATAAAAAATGAACAATGGTCATGATCTACAACTTGGACATGCAGCTCTGCGAAATATTCAATTAAAAAATACCAATTGTTATTTTTGTGTTAAAAAATATAATCTGTTGTACTAAATCAATTTGATCTTACGATTACTTTTTAGCTGATTTAGGTTGAGTAATCTACTGATATATTCACGTTTTATCCAGAGCAGTGGATGTCCGGGTGTTGATCTGTAGGATGGACGACCACAAAGGAAAGGTGTTTCTAATCACCGGTAAGACAAACTGAAATTATTAAAAATATATGTCAAAATTGCAGACATACATGGCGAGAAAATTCAATGATTATGCCCTACAGGTGCCAGCTCTGGTATTGGGGAGGGCATTGCCGTCCTTCTCGCAAAGTGCGGAGCAAGTTTGTCATTGACGGGAAGAAATGAGGTCAAGTTAGAGACTGTAAAGGAAAAATGTCTGAAGGAGGGATTATCTTCGGAGAAAGTAAGCCATTAACTGAATAAATTTATAACTTAAATTACATTTGTTTTAAAGAAATAATAAAACCACTCTTATTTATCCATAGACACTGTTTTCCGTGGGTGACATTACATCCAGAGATTATAGAAGATCATTAGTGGATCAAACAATAAAACAGTTTGGAAAGCTTGATGTTCTGGTAATTATCTTTTACATAAGTCTTTGTGAGGTATTGTAGTTTCAAATATACTCAATGAAATTGTGATATCTTTAAAAAGCATTTTGCTATTCACCAGCTGACGCTTTCTTCAAGACATCTTACCTCTAAAATGACAACATAACCATAGGGGGGTCTGTCTTCCGGCTTATTAAATGTAAATAAATTAATAAAATTTTGAATCTACTTTTTATACTGATTTGGAGAGATGAACCCCCAAATCGAAGAAAATTTCCCCGTTTTCTGTTGATTAAACGCTTGCGATGACCGGTAACTAAATCAGCATTTATGAGAATTATCGCTGTAGCGAATCCTACTATGACAAGGAGATTAGAGTATAGAAACAGGTGCCGAAGTGGATGGGGGTATTTTTTCCAAGATAGCAGCTTGTATCCCTTGTAGAGTTTATGTATATGTATAGGTGTGGTGCTTTTTAAACATGGTATTCTTTGCCTGAAAGTGTAAAAATATCTATTGAAACGGCTTTTTAAGTTTATTTAAAGTAGATTAAATTATTAATTTTACATTTAACAATCCCCTATGAACATAATGTTTTCTTAGCTCACCTGAGCTGAAAGCCCAAGTGAGCTTTTCTGATCACATTTTGTCCACCGTACGTCTCTAAACTTTTCATACTTTCGACTTCTTCTCCTGAACCACATGACCAATTTCAACCAAAGCATATTTGGGTGAAGGGATTCAATTTTTCTTTCAAATGAAGGGCCACGTCCTCTGTCAAGGGGAGTAAATCAAAAATTAGTAAGAAATTGGTGCCATCTTTTAAAATTCTTCCTTTCAAGAACCACTGGCCACTGACAAAAAGTTGATACTTATGTGAAACCTTCGTTATATAGTGTAGATCCCTAAGGGTTGGATGGGGTCACAACGGGGGATCAAAGGTTTACATAGGAATATATAAGGAAAAATATTCAAAAATCTTCTCAAGAACAGCAATGCCATAATAAGTCATATTGATATGGAAACATCCTCAGGTAGTGTAGTTTCAATTTTGTTCAAATCATTACCCCTGGGGTTAGGGTGGGGCTACAATGGGGGATCAAAGTTTTTTTCATAGGAATATAAAGGAAAAATCTTTACAAGTCTTCGTCTAAAGAACTTTGCTATGGCTACACAGCTATGATGAGTCATATTACTCTCTTTTAAAAAAGGAAGGAGAATGTTTTTCATTGAAGTCGGGCTTTAAAGCATAACAAAATTTGAAAATATTCTTGGATATGAATAATTGTTCCTTAAATCTTTTCTTATGCATAACACATATTAAATCAAACAAATATGATTGATAAAATACAATGTTTTAGTTGTGAACCTCTTTGAAATTGGTGAAAAAAATGAGCATTTTTGCCGTTTTTTGTCTTTAAACATATGTTCCTCCCATGAAACAACAAAAGCTTTGGTATTATTTGTTAAATAACAATTCTAAAGATTCGTAAAAAGGAATTGTTGTTTCACGCGGGGTGGGGGGGGGGGGGTTAAAAAATATTTTCCGTTTTTCATTGCTTTCCATAGTGAAAATCGGAAGTTTTACCAAAATTATAGTTATCTCTGTTTTTCCAAATAAGTTATGTTTTGTGAAAATCCATATAAATATCTATATGAATATGAAAAGTCATTCAAATAGTCTAACTTTTGAAAATTGACTTGGAGGTAATTGGTAGAACAATACTATCGTTCGAAGTTCTTTGTTCAGATCATGACTCCTTGGAATTCGAAGGGGAAACAAGGGGGGTCAAATATTTACATAAGAATTAAGATATGGGGGAAAATCTTTAAAAGTTTCTTCTCAAGAACAGCAAAGCCATGATAAGTTATATTAATATGGAAAAATTCTCAAATTCAAGATTGTTCATGTCATGTTCTCCAGGGTTGGATGGTGTCACATGCATGGTGATAAAACTTTTACAGAGGAATATATAGTTCAATTTTTTTTCCTTAAGAACAGCAAAGCCATAATTAGTCTTATTGATATGGAAGCATCCTCAGGCAGAATAAACTTAAACTGTTTCAAAATCATAAACCCAGGGATACGGTGGGGCCACAATGGGGGTCTTAGTTTTACATAGGAATATATGTGAAAAATTCTTTAATAATCGTCTCAAGAACAGCAAAACCATTATTAGTCATATTGATATGGTAGCATCCTCCATAACAAAAAATACTATGGTTAACTAATGTTTACTATAGTTAACTATAGTGATAACTTTGACACGATGAAAACTTTGATTTACTATAGTGATCACTTTGACACTTTGATTTACTATAGTGATAACTTTGACACTTTGATTTACTAAAGTGATAACTATGAAAACTTTGATTTACTATAGTGATCACTATGCAAACTTTGATTTACTATGGTGAAAACTTTGATTTACTATAGTGATAACTTTGAAAACTTTGATTTACTATAGTGATCACTTTGACACTTTAGTGATCACTTTGAAAACTTTGATTAACTATAGTGATAACTTTGACACTTTGATTTACTATTAATAGTTAACTATAGTAAACTATAGTTAACTATAGTAAACTATAGTTAACTATAGTATTTTTTTTGTTAGGGCTAAGGTAATGTAGATTTAGTCATATTCATATGAAAGCATCCTCAGGTAGTGTAGAATCAAGGTTTTTCAAGTCATGACCCCCAGAGGTAGGGATGGAGCCAAAATGGGATTCGAACTTTTACAGAGGAATATACAGTATAAAAATCTTCTCAAGAACAGCAGAGCCTTGATTATTCATATTCATATGAAAGCATTCTCAGGTAGTGAAGACTCAACATTTTTCAAGTCATAACCCCCTGGGGAAGGGTGGGGTCATAAAGTTTTACATAGGATTATTTGTGAAACAATCTTTAAAAATCTTCTCAAGAACAGCAAAACCATGATTAGTCATATTAATATGGAGGCATTCTTAGGTATTGTCGTTTCAAATTTGTTCAAATCATGACCCCTGGTGATAGGGTGGGGCCAGCATAGGTGATCAAAGTTTTACGTAGGAATAAATAATAGAACAAATCTGCTGATGAAGAACAGCAAGGCCATATTGACTCAGGTGAGTGTTGTGGCCGATAGGCCTCTTGTTTTCTTCCTTTTTCTTTTTGTCAAACAAATATTTCAGGTTGTTCGTATCTGCATTTTCAACACATACGTGTACACTAGTAATTATAAAAATGATTCACTCATTTAATCTACTAGTATATTGCATTATTGCATCCATTTCCATTACATTTGTTAGCAGTTTAGCCCATTCTTATCCAATTACATGTATTACACAATAGTATTACTGAGATGCCTACAATCTGGCCAGAACTAAACAAAAATGCGAAACTATTACTGGATGTGTAATTTTCAAAAATGTTTAAAGAGAATGAAACATCGACATCTTGCGGCGTATTCTCTTTTAATATACAATAAATTTAACCCTATAACATTATCAATAGCTCGGATATTCAATATTTTGAAGTTGAATATGGAATTTATTTCACGAGTGGTAGAGGATTTTTTTTTATATTTTCACGAGTGCGAAGCACGAATGAAAATATATTATAAAAAATATATTATAAAAATAATCCTCACAATTGAAATAAATTCTATGTCCAACTACAAAACTTTGAATTTTGTGGTTATTATATTTTCTTTGATTTTCCCCTTGCTTCTGCCTTTTTTTTAAACACAGTGTCATAGGCTTTGACGGCATAGTTGAGCAGTTGAGAGATTGAAAACATTGAAACATGGATTTTAGCAACATATTTTGGAAGGAATTGGCAGTTTTAGTCTCTATCAAGATAGTTTAGTTACTGTCTCTATATGATTACTGGCCAGGATTTATTTTTTTTTTATTTATTTTGATATCCTTTCACACTGTGAGAGAATATCACTTTGGTATCCTTTCACACTGTGAAAGAATATCACTTGAAAGAATATCACTTGAATTCAATAAATAAATTAGAGTACTTCACTGTTGAAAATGTAAAAATATTCATCATCCATCAATAGAGACCAAGGAGAATAGGAAATTGGATATATTTCAGAAAATAATTTCTTGTCGTTTGTCCTCAGATGATCAACAGCTCTCTCTCTCTCTCTCTCTCTCTCTCTCTCTCTCTCTCTCTGAGAAGGAGAGGGAAGTGTACCCCTGCATACGCTCCTGTAGGCAAGCTTATGAACCTATCTATTGATATTCCCAAAGATATTATCAAAAATCAGGCTCTAACTCATAAATTAGCAAAGGGGAAGAGTAAAGGGGGGGGGGTGATTCCTATATTATTCCTATATTACAAGTATATGCACGGGAGTACATCCTCGTAAATCCCCCTAATTCCATAATCCCATGTTGTTATGTTGGGACCAGCGCTTCTGGAATCACATGAGGTATGTCTTAAAATAAGCTTGTCGTCGTCTTAAAGTTGGAACAAAGATTAGGAAGTTTCTTTAGATAGGATTGCTTTGTTAGCATCTCTAAAGAATAAGATGTGTCGTAAGTTCGTCCTAAGCTATATCTTAGTCCCAATATAGCTTCATAAGCGTGCCTACTACTGCATTTACTTGAATTACAAGGTAAATAATGCTGGAATGATGAAGTCCGTGGATATATCAATGGAAACAGAAGAACACTTTGATGAAATTATGAACGTCAACATAAAGTCGGCATACTTCCTTACCCAACTAGCTATACCACATTTGAAGGCTACGAAGGGTAAGTGTGAGAGTATTTGACGAGGAATCTTAGTTGTTGTTGTTAGTTGTTGGCACAACAAAGTGAACAATTGGATAGGGAGGTATTTACCTAAGAATTCTTTACAAGCAAAAACATGATGGAGTCTTTCATGTATTCCCAATCAAGAAAGGGCTGTGCACACATCGAACAAATGAGGCCAATCAGACCTGTCTCCCCAGATCAAGAATTCCTAAAGTCTGTTCGATTTAAGCCGGAATCAGTACGCTAGAGTTATTGTTGGTTTTACCCATATGCACGTCTCTACCAGTCTCAGTTTATTTACAGTTTATTGAAAGGTATTCTTACACATCTACATCCGGAATCTTCCAGCCCGAACTCTCAAGACCGATCATCTCGAACTCTTAAATTTGTTGACCTATAATGATTTAATCAAAATATAAATCACCATAGATAAATTGATCTTTTCTTTAATGGAATTGTATGTGATTTTGAATCACCTTTTTTCAGTTTAATTTCAAAACGTCTTTCTTTCAGGCTGCATCATCAACAATTCAAGTGTACTTTCAACCACTGTCCTCCCGGGTGTAAGGTTCTTATTTCCTCAAAATGTAGAAAAAAATTATAATCTAATAAAAACAAGTTTTTTCTTGATATATGTAAAATTTTTAGCTCACCTAGGCCAAAGGCTCACGTGATCATTTCTGATCGAGGGGTGTCCGGCGTCCGTCTATCGACTGTCGTGTGCTGTCTGTTGTCTGCAAACTTTTCATATTTTTGACTTCCCAGGAACCACTGGGCCAAAGGTAACCAAAGTAGGCACAAAGCATCCTTGGGTAAAGGGGATTTTTTTCTTCAAATGAAGGCAAGCTCTCTTTCAAGGGAAGATAATGCAAAATTCTTGACAATTTGGTGGAATCTTTTTTAAAAAGCTTCTTCACAAGAACTACTGGCCCGAAAAAGTTGAAACTTGGGTGAAAGCTCATTTCATAGTTTATTCAAAACATGACACACGGCTAGAGCGGGGCCACTATGAGCGAGCATGGTTTTACATGGGGAAACTCTTTAATAATCTAATAATTTTCTTATCACAAAACATTACTGAATACAAAGACATATGCAAATGTTTAACTAACAACAGAAAAAGCAGATTAATTTTTCAAATAGCTGTTGATTTGGTAAAATAAAAAAAATTTAAAACCTATCTATTACAAAACATTAATTTTAATCAGCATAAATTGTAAATAAGCGAATGAGTTATATTCCATTTCAGTAGGGCGCCGGGGTATAATTAGAATGTTTAATACTCGTAGAAGAGTAGGTGGTCAACCGTGATATTTATTAATTACCTTTTCTCTTATAATGATAGACTACAAATAAAATTCAAGAAGCCCAGCAGTAATTTTGCAACTCCTTTCGTGCAAAAGCATCACTTTTTTTATTTTCTTACCGACATGAAGCCACTATGTACACTCATGTATACTCATATTTTCATCTTTTATTCAATAATAATACTGAAAATTAAAACTAGTTCAAATTTCTATAGTAATTGAAAAGCACGTAAATAATTATTTTTTCAGCATTTTCCGTATTTTTATTTTGCATTTGTCGTTGATAACTCCGTTAATAGTGTGCATCTCTATCACTGAATTGTCGCATATAACGTCAGTAGTGTGGCGCCGAAATCCGATTGAAATATGCATATCCCTGTATTTGAATTTCAACTCTTAACATCTCTCTAGCGTCGCGGAGTAAAGAGTTGATCCTTACGTCACGGGTTCGAATCCCACTGTGGGAGTGGAGACCTGTCCTTCGGTTGAGACTGTATAAACTGAGGTCCCGTGTCGCAGTGGATGCTGGCAGGAAAAAGATCCGTCACTGCTCAATGGCCCTGAGTGCCAAGTGTAGGTCAAAATTTGAAGCTCTCCACCGGCAAGTGGTGGCGTTTCCATATGAGTGAAAAACTCTCGAGAGGGACGTTAAACAACAAACAAACTTAACATCACTGAAAATATGCTTGCAACACTATTTTTAATGTTCAGTATTTTAATAACCAAGGTTGTAGATAATATTTTTCAAAAAATTACGACTTCGTAAGATCATACGAATAAGTCTTTAATATTATTAAAAATGGAAGCATCCTCGGGTGGTGTAGATTCACGTTTGACCAAGTCACGACCCCCGTGGCTAGGATAGAGCCACAATGGGTGATCAAAATGATACTTCTTCCTAAGAACAGCAAAGTCACAATAAGTCTTACTAATATAGAAGTATCCTCAGTAAGTGTAGATTCACGTTCTTTCAAATTGCGACTCCTGGGGGCCACTATTATATTTTAACTTCTCAATAATGAACTAATTTCTGCTTTTCTCCAGCCAAAGTGCTCAGGTGAGCAATGTGGCCTATGGATCTCTTGTTCATTTTATATTTTATGTTTTATGGTAGATATCTGGAGTTTGTTCTTACTGTATGTCCAAAGGAGCAATGGATGCATTCACCAGAAATTTAGCTATTGGTATTAACATTGAACTCAAACAACCCTCATCGTCATAAAGTTAATTAAAACACTGTGAAATAGTATTCAGCTACTAATATGTTCCGTAGATGTGTAATGGATAATATATTTAAATGCTTTTTTCAGAATTAGCACCCTTTGGAATTCGGGCAAATAGCGTAAGGTATAAATAATTTATATAATACAGCTGTATTTGAATTCATTTATGTATATTTTAATACAATCTTTAGATTTTATTTTCAGACCAGGAGTTACAAGAAGTTATCTCCAGAGACATAATATAACAGACGAAGAATTACTAAATAAGGTGAGTCATGAGGGTTGTCCGAACATTCCGTAGAGAAGCGGGTCTTTTTTTGTAGGAACCTGGTATCATAAATTAATGAAAGTTTGGAAAAAGATTAAACTAACAATTTTTAATAGATTTGTCGACATGTATAGAAGAATTTAGCAGATAAATCCCATTAGATGAAATACATGTACGTATCTCCCGGTGTAAGGCAGCGCAATACCCCAATATAGGAATAAAAAAGTGATAAATATTATTTCAAATCTTACAAATTTAGTATTTACTACTGAGAAGTTCGGGAATAGAAATTTTAAAAATCTTAAAATGGTAAGTTTACTACTTTTCCTCTAATTAGGTTGTATATGCTCGGTTTGAAATCTGACTTGAAAATGGCCACTTGAAAATGTCCACATAGGAGACACACTGGGCTGTTATGAAATGTTCTGAGCATGAAATCACTCGAACAAAAACGTATGTCACAAATATAAAATGATAAAAACAGTTTAAGTTTGTAAAGAAGCAAAACTAAGAAAGAGATTGGCCGCAAGAATCGGACAAGAAATCGTTGTCAAAGTGACACTGTGCAACTTCATTTGAGAAGACAAGTCTTCAGAAATAGAGGAGGTTTTAGAATGTTTAGTATTGGGTATATGTACATAAATTTATTATGTTGTAAATTTTTCATTTACCTCCATCAAATTCTAAATTTACAATATGATAGAGGTTAACAGTGGTTTTCTTGGGTGAAAATTTTCAATGTTACCCTTAACTATATGCATTATATAATACACGAAAGTTTCATACAAATATTAACAAGCATTCTGAGAGTATTGAATTAGCATTACTAGTCCACTACCGACAAGTGTAATCTGGTTCCCGTTAAAAATTGAAAATGCCGTAATTCCGTCAAAAATCAATGAAGCGGAACGAAATGCAAACTTGATCCATTATTCATCAAGGTAAAGTCACATACCAAAATCAGCTCAATAGCTGCAAGCGTTTAGAAAAAAAATTGTGGAAAACCCTGAAAAATTAAAAAGGTCGTAATTCCGTCAAAAATCATTAAAGCGGGACGAAATACAAATTTGGTCTGTAACTTATCAAGATTCACTCACAAACCAAAAATCAGCTCAATATCTGCAGCATTTAGAAAAAAAAGTGTGGAAAGCATGTGGGACAGACAGACAGAGGGACAGACAGACGGACGGACTTAGAGGAAACCTTTAGTCCCCTCCGGTTTCACCGGTAGGGGACGTGAAGTGCGCGCGAATAGATTTCGCGCAATCAGTATTGGATTGTCACCTGTTGTCAAGCATTGTTGACTGTTGATAAGTCCAATTGCGCTGGTGGGCGTGGTTTCATCATTCAGAGGGTTTCTAACAAAATTTCTCGACGAATCAAATTCAATTTAATGCAATTGACATGAAAGTATAATATATTAATATAATATAAAATATTATCATAACAATTATGATATATCATACTTAAATCCATAAATATTAATGATGATAAAAGAATTGACTCTGGTAATTAGTGAATTATCCCCCCAACTAACACCACAAATGTCCCGGCAGGCAGCCAAAATTTCAAATGCCATATTTAGTTTTAGATTTGATTTCACAAAAGATTTTTTTCTAAGTTCAAGAGAGGTAACTCTGTTAAAAAATCTTCAAACCACGACTTAATTCAAATTTGACCTGTAATTTCTGGTAAAATACCTGCATATGCAATTCCAACCTTACACATACATTCCTACAAAAGTAAGAGAGCAGAAACTGAGTTTTTTTTTTATTTTTTCTAAGTTCAATAGGAATAATTCTGTCAAAAATCATCGGACCACGACCAAATTCAAACTTGGCCTGTATTTTCTAGTAAAGTACCTGCATATGCAATTTCAATCTCATACATACATCCCTACAAAAATTAGTGGAAACTGAAAAATTTCTTTTTTAAGTTCAAGAGGGATAACTGTCAAAAATCAGCGAAACACAACCAAATACGAACTTGACCTGTATGTTCTGGTAAAATACCGGCACATGCGATTTCAACCTTATACACTGTATATACATACCTACAAAAGTTAGAGAGCGGAAACTGAAAATTTCTTTATTTTTTCTAAGTTCAACAGGGATAACTCTGTCAAAAATCATCGGACCATGATCAAACTTGACCTGCGTATTCCTATGACGTATCCATATATGAAATTTGAGGTGAATGTGTGCAAATGTTGTTAAGATAATGAACGGAAAGTCAATGATGTCGGGTTGAAGGAATTACAGAATGAAGGAACAGGGGGGTAACACTATATGCCCCCGGCTATTGTATTGCGGGGGCATAAAAATCCAAATCTGTGAGTTTATCTATTTTGATATCGGAGATTGCTATGGATGGTAGGAAAGGTAACGCTACAATTCTTTTCACTTGTTTTGTTTGCAGAAAATATTCAGTATTCCTTTTAGTGTATTTTTACAGTCATTAAATCATGTGTTCACTAAAATAAATTCCGCCAAAATTATTGGTATACCATTGAGCAAGCAAAATGTCATATTATACCTCCATTTAAAAAAACTCTAAACGGTATCCCCTGTGATCGGACAATTTTCTAAACCTAATGAGGATCTAAATATCTAATCAGATTTGGAGAATGTATGAAAACTCTTTATTGCAATTGGTTCAAAGCTGCCAGACATAACAGTTCTAAAAATATAGATAAAACTCGAAAATTAAGACCCCTCCCGCTAAGAGAGAGAGAGAGAGAGAGAGATTTGAAAACTGAATGTTAAGATTTAATTCTGTTTCAGGTGATGGCAACATTTGAAAAAGCAAATCCTTCTGGACGGAATGGTGAGCCGGAAGATGTTGCCAATGCTGTTTCATTTTTGGCCTCTGACAAATCATCATATATAACTGGACAGGACATTGTTATTGATGGCGGACGTTTTATTCGATATTAGTTACATTGCTTTCACAATATTATGCCACGAATGCTTCACATTGAATTCTACTTATGTTACAAAATACGCAAACTATTCTTTTTATAGCACTGAATTTGCACCATTGAAATTCGTGTATAGAATAATTAATTCAGCTCAGATATATACTGTATGTACATTTAGTGTTAATTTGTTTTACTCGTTTGATTTCTAATACTTACTATTCTTCATTTTGGAAACTCCTACACATTGTGCTCTAAGGAGAGATTACTGACTTTAAAGAAGAGGCCTAAGGGCCTTAACGTTCACCTGAGTATAATGTAACACTATAAAGGATCCATAGTTCGAATATGAGATAAGCTGATATATGAAGCTGTGTTGCCCAAAAGCAAGAGACATAGGATAAATAGGGATCAGCAAAATAATTAATTTAATGCCCAGTCACAAATTCTCAACTTTGGAAGAAGCACTCATTATCATCATAACCATACCCTTATTTTATTTGCTTAATACCTAGAAGCATAGAAGATTTTCAGAGAATGCACTGTCATTATAAAATTAATAGAGCCCCGTCCTAACACCAGATCCCCAGACCCAGGGGCTATGAAATTCACAATTTTGGAAGAGGCATCCTTGATTATTACAACTATTTATTTGGTTTGTTTGCTTTATACACAGGGGCAGAGAAAATTTTCAAAGAAATAATGCATTTCGATATATATAATGAAAGAGCACTTCGTCGAGTGCCGTGATGGGAATGTCGTATGTTTAAACCCCATCCGCGACTGACCTAAGTCGATAAAAAAAGGTAGCATCTGTTCCCACACCAAGTGCTCGGCATTTTGAAATGAAGTTTCGGTTCTTTCGGATGAGACCTTAAAAACCGAGGCCCCTTTTCAAGGCAGGCGTTGGCACGATAAATATCCCTCACTGCCTAATGGCCCTGAGTGCCGAAGAAAGGTCTAAATTTGAAACCCTTCATCGGTATATGGTGCCGTCTCTATATGAGTGAAAAATTCTCGAAAGGAAAATTCTATGAAAGGACAACATAGAATTTATCAATCAGTCAATCAAAGAGCATTCCCCTCTTCCACAGAACCCTTGAGGCCAAAAGTTTCACAATTTTGAAAGAGGCACACTTGATCATATTAGACATGCACTTAGATTATCGACTTTATTTAAGGAATGAATTTAATAGTTATCTAAGTTATATTGTTTAACCTGGGTTGGGCCACTTTATGCTTTACAAACTGAGTAGCAGTTAATGAAAAAATCATAAACTGTTCCAGTCCAGGTTATACCAGTATAATTAACTTGGTTAGCGTTTAAATTCACCCCTTATGATTTAATTTTCCATCATTAAGTGTAGAAATTAAGACAATTTCAATTTCAAAAATGTCTTCAAAGACAAGATATTTTTTGATGCAATTTGATAAAAGTGTTGTGTAAATACACATCTGACAAAAATATTGAAAGCCACTGAACAAAACACCCAGTTATATTAAAGTGAAGTTAATTATATAAGCAAGTTGACCACTGGTAATTAATTAAAAAGGATATATATATGTACATATTTGGAAAAGTTAATACTTCTAACAAAATTAACATTATTAATACTTTTGTGATTGATTAATGATAGTTATATCCATATTTCATATTAGAATTGATAACAGTATCATCGGACCATTTGGAAAAATAATGCTTTTGAACAATATGCTACGTTGAATATAATAATTTAACATTTAGGCTTACAATTACAATGGATTTACTTGAAAATTAAGCTTGATATATATTCATTAAACATCGGAGTGAAGAATGTAAATGATTGTTTGCTTTTTTACCTCTTTTTTTATTCATATTAAAGTTATGTTTAAGCTGCTGCTAAAAGAGGTATTGAGAGTATAAAGGTATAAAGAGTAAAAGATGATGTTAAGCTATAGTTTTTCTATAACAATACAACACCATCATTTGGTTTAAAATTAAGTGCTTAATTCAGAAGATAAATTTAGAAAGGAATAAATATGAAAGTGAAACTAATTTTAACTTGTAAGGTTATGGACACATCTTTCTTTTATAGTGTCCTTCACTATGTTTGCTGCTGTGCTGTAAATACATGTCGGATTACAATAACATATTTAGCAAAGGTATTGAGATTTCACCTTCTACCGTGAAATATGTGGAGATAACGAACAGCATTCGAGCTCAAAAGTCCATTAAACATTACAAAATTGGAGCAGAGCTAACACGGACCTCTAAGACATTAAAGGTGCGATCAGGTGCCATGGAAGAGAGCATCCCCTGCTAACTGGTCACACCCGCCGTGTGCCCCACGTCATGATCGAGAAATAACAGAAAAATTCGTTGACAAATCAGTGTGTAAATAATGGCCTAACAATTTGTATGGAAAAAGTCAGTCAGCATTTGACTTAATGAAAGATTGTATTTGCTGAAAAGGTCATTGTATCGACCATAGAACTTACGAAATGATGACTTTAAATGAGACTGCTGATATTCTTGTTTCATCAACTTGTTTGTCGGTAATTTACCTCGTTTTAGAAATTGTTCATACGTAGAGAATGCCCTTGCGTATCAAATCAACTGAGAGATATAAACCCCGTATGCAGGTGATAAGGGTATACTGCTGCATAAGTAAGGGAAGTTGACGATTGAAAAGTTAAAGTCATCACGTTCATCATAAAGCTTTATTGTAAGATTACCATTTACGTTTTTTTTCTAATAAAGTATCCAAATATGAAACATTGTGTCAGACTCTGTGGTATATTTTTTCTCAAGCTCACCGAGATATATCATGTCGACATAAGAATGGAAATAACCATTCTTAATATACAATACGTCGTCGAAATATCTAAATGTCGAATTGAAGGCCACAGCAAATGTTTTCTTCTTTTCACGTAAAAAAAAAAATTGAACAATTTCTGCTTAGTATGAATACAAAAATAGGTCTGCTAATAACGGGGCGCAATTGGTACCCAAGAGAATTCCAATAGACTGTTGGAAGACCTGGGCACCGTTTCATCAAAAGTTGTAAATTTAAGCCTTAACTTAGGTGTATTTCCGGGGCTTACGCCAAATTTTAGTCTGGAGTAATTTGCGTTTCACGAAGTGGCGTAAGTTTAGTCGTAAACGATACGCTTAGTCTCAGGACTAAGACCTTGACAACGCTGCATTGCACATGCGCAAAAACCATAAAAATACGTATTGTGTTCGATGTATGTATAACAACACACATATACATTAACTTAAATGAAAAATTACATGAATTTTTAGGGACCTTGTAGAAAACATGCATCTTAAATCTTTATATTATAAAATATTAACTACTTACAACACACCATCCGACTAAACTCCAAAATTAAAGGACTGAGAAAAGAAAATGAATAGAAAGAAAATATTTATTTCGGAAAGTATACATTAAACAAAAATGCCATCTGAGAAACTTGTTGACAAGCTAGAAAAATCGTAATTTTTTTTCCCAAACCTGAATATCTTATTCAAAAATGTGTTTCTTCCTACCAGCCTACTCTTTAATAGGGGTCTAAGGTCATTTTTATTTTCTACTCACTTTACTCTAGATTTGTACATACATGTAAATCATAAATAACTCCGCAAATTGCAGCAAAGAGGACTGGACCCCCTCTCTGACTCTAGATCCACGCATGTGGACGTGGAGAAAATAAGGAATGGCGTTTTCGAGCAAGATTATTTTTTTAAACCTACTTGGTTTTAGGAAAAGTTAAAAATTTAGTTTCTTTTTTAAAATATAAATATCAACCAAAGCTAAAGAAGATAGCTGTGCTTTTGTGAAAGAATTATTTTTTTTTCAAAACAAAAATATATTGGGAATAAATAGTTTTTTTTTTTTAAATTATGACACAAAATGTATATCGAAAAGTCGATTTACAATACCTCATAAGCTCATACTCGAAATACAACAATGAAATGTGTATTGCTGCAGGATTGTCAAAACTTAAGAGATGGTGTTAAAATAAATCCCTAATAAGTCAATCTTTTATGAAGAAATTTTAATATGTTGACGGTACGAACGTTAGGGCGAGCGCAGATACCTATATTCTGTTTTATTTAGATCGGGCTCTTCAAATCACACGTGACATTTAGTAGTCTAGACTCTGACGTCACATGACGTCGCTTGTAAGTTGCATTACCAAAACGAAGTCTGAACAATTCTAATTTTAATAAAGAAGGTTTAATCTACTATTTATTTGCTATACATACATCAAATCAAGGTGAGTTTATTTTTATCTTGGAACTTCTTGTTACCGCGAGAACGTTGTTTGTGGCGAGATGCAATTCGCAAAGCATTATGGGACCACAGGTAACTGCGGAAAAAAATTCGTTTGGATCAATGTGCAAAGTCCGAATTTTCTCTTCACCCAGGCGTTGCTTTAAGAGCTCGCAGTGACGAGCAGCGCTTTTGTAAATACTGCATGTCAACTACCTCCGCGACTGAGTGTAACACCCCCCCCCCACCCCCCCCACCCCCCACCCCCCGCAAAAAAAACTTCATAGTTTGTGAAATTTAATAATGCATCGTTTGTATTAAAAAGACTTCTAAGAACCGTAATTCTTCTTAAGGAATGGCTAAATCGTTTCTAAATTAGTAAATTCGTTTAATTTTATGTTTACACCAGAGCTTAAGCCTACCCATAAGTAGACGTAAAATTTTGGCCTAACTTTAGTCCGGTGTAAAGATAATAATAATAATAATACTTTATTTATAGAAGGTAACCTGATTAGTGCAATCACTAGTCTTCCTAAGGGCCTTCTTTATAACACATATACAATATATATATACAATAAACACAAATCACAAGTAAGAGATAATAAAATATAAACACTATGGTACAACAGAATAAATAAAATCATCAAAGCTTAGTTCAAAATGTGAAAAGGAGGGGGAAAAATCACATGTTTTTACGTAGAACTAGTTCGTTTCATAAGTAAAAAAATTTCAACACTACTTTTAAATATTGCAAGGGATTGGGATTTCCTGATACTAATAGGTAACTCATTCTAGATAATAACCCCTGAATATTGTAAAGAATTTTTAAATAAATTTGTTTTGTATTTTGGTAAACGAAGTTCGGAATTTGTTTCTGAGCGTAACGTGTATGATCCAGAACTTTGAAATTCAAAAAAATTATGCATATAATCGGGAGACATACCATGAAATGTTTTGAACATTAGTCTGCTTTTCTGTAAATATAGAAGTTCATGAACCGTTAACCAGCCTAAAGTGTTAAATAAAGGCATTGAAGGTGCATCATATTTTTTATTTAAGATAATCCTTGCTGCACGTTTTTGAAGTCTGTAGATTCTGTCGATGTGCATTTGAGGAGAGTTACCCCAAATAGATAAACAATATAAAATTGATGGTAAAATAAAAGCGTTATAAAATAGTTTTCCAGTATGCAGTGAAAGAAACTTTTTAATTTTTCGTAAAGTAAATAATATATGTAAGAGTTTTGCAAACTGCATCTACATGACGAGTATATTGAAGAGTATGATCAATGTGAACGACTAATAACTTCTGCATTTCCACATTTTCAAGGGGATGACCGGAAAGTTGAAAATGAAGACTAGTGTTTTCTAATTTTGATTTCTTTTGTTGTGTGTCCATTAAAATACACTTTGTTTTATCGGTATTCAAAAGCATCTGATTTTGTAGACACCAGTTTTGTATTTGATAGAGGTCATGATTAAGAGTTGTTTCAATACGTGAAATATTGTTACCATGAAAATGCATTGTAGTGTCAACAGCAAACATATCAATATTACAATGTTCAACAGACAATGGTAAATCATTAATGTACAATAGAAATAATAAAGGGCCTAATATAGACCCCTGTGGCACACCTGCTGTGACTGGCAGTGATTCAGATGTGTATGCACCTATTTTTACACTTTGAGTTCGGTGAAATAAATATGATTGAAACCATTTAATTGATATTGGATCAAAGTGATAGCATTTAAGTTTTCTAATTAGTATATCATGATTAACAAGATCGAATGCTTTGCTAAAATCCAAGTAAGTAATGCCAATGAAATTTCCTTGATCTATTGCATGCAGCCAATTATCAGTTAGTTTTGTGAGAGCTGTCTGGCATGAGTGAAATTCTCTAAATCCTGACTGTGCTTTCATTAATAAATCGAAGTGAGAAGTAAAGATGCGTATATTTTCTGCTACATGCTTTTCTAAAACTTTCGATATAGTTGGTAAAATAGAAATTGGGCGATAGTTTCCTGGGTCTGATTTATCACCCTTTTTAAATAGATGAGTTACTTTTGCGAGTTTTAGCTGTGAAGGAAAAGACCCCTTGATTATGCTAGAATTTATTAGATGTGTAAGAGGTTTTGATATTATACTAGCTGAAAGTTTAAGCAATCCAGGTCCAAGAAAGTCTATGCCAGCAGATTTGTTTACATCTAGCCTCTTTAACATATTAAATATTTTTTCTTCATTAATCAAAGGAATTTCAAAAACGTCTTGATCTCCAAGTTTTGCCTCAGTGTATCTTTTCAATTTTTTCTGATTCAAAAGTAGTAAATGAAAGATTGTTTAATAATTTTCTTGGAATTTGTGCAAAATTTTCATTAAAAACATTTGCAATATCCTGTAAATTATCAAGATCTAACCTGTTATATGTTATATTGGAAGGGAATGAGTTTTTGTCTGATGAGGCCAGCTGATTTAAGTGACCCCACATTTCTATTGATGTAGAACTATTTTCAATTACTTTCTTATAATATGTAGATTTTGCATCATTAATTAAAAATGTGACTTTGTTCCTCCAAAATCTAAAATTTTCCACACATCTCCCTGTTTATGGTATTGATCTCGTAAATTCCTGGCATCATTTATTTCTGGAGTTAACCATTAAGTGCGGAATTCTGATTTAACACGCTTTGTTTTAACTTTTGCATGCTTATTAATTATAGCATTGTAAATATTATAGAAACAGTTTAAGATGTCATTTGGATCATGCATATGGATTTATTCATCAAAATTTGCATTGTTCAGATCAAGCAAAAATTCTGTTTCATTAAAATTTTT